AGCCTTCAGCTCGACATTTAAATATATTGACGACGTATTGTCAATTAACAATGCTTATATCCATTCTTATTTCGATACAATTTATCCCTGTGAGCTTGAAATAAAACAAATAACATAGCCTGACACATCTATTTCATATTTAGATATTTTACTGGAAAAGGATTTTATGACAAAAGAGATGACTTTTAATTGTTTTTTTTTTCTATTGTCAACTTTCCTTATAGTCTGGTCCTGATTTTTAAAAAGAAGCCTAGAAATAACTTCTAACGGCAAATAATTATTATTTGGTCCAGCATAGCTTCTTAACCTATTTCGAGTATGCTGATTCCGAAAAAATATGCTGGCTTTCATGAAAATGGCGTTAAAGAGGTCAAAATGGCGATTCAAAATGGCGGATATCCAATTTTTCTAATTTTCTCTTAATATCGTTCAAAAAGGAGAAATAATGTGTGAATATCTCAATGAGTAATACAAGTATAAATATGATAATAGAATGCTAACATTATTAGTTTAAATCAGAAAATTTAGTCGTTTCTACACTTAATTTGAATTTTCTCTGATTTATTCGTCTATTGTTCTATATTCTGCTTTGTTCAGGATTTTACATTTGCAAATATCTATACACTGCAGATTTGTATTTTCCCCCTCTACATCTCACTATTCTAGAATTGAATGATGGTGCAGCTGTAAGTTTAAAGTCAAAATGGCGATTCAAAATGGCGGATATTCATTTTTTTTTTCAAATTATTTCTTGATGTCGTTTACATAGGAGAAAGGATTTGTGAATATCTTACTGAGCGTAGTACAACTATGTAAAATGACAATAGAACACTAATATTATCACTTTAAATCGGAAAATTTAGTCGTTTGAATTTGAAATGTGTTAATTAGCTCAAAATGGCAATTCAAAATGACGTCATATACACTCGAATTTCGTAAAATACCCAAACTGCTTAATTCTGAGTCGTTTTGCAGAAAATAAATCACAGTTTTTTTTTTATTATTAATGAAATAATATTCAAATATGCATTGAAAGTTAGAGGATATTTTTGTTGATGACTATTTTTACGGATTTTTGTTTAATAACTTATACATGTATTATTAAGATTAACTTTTGACAATTCCGAAGACATTTTTCCTATTACCTGTCTCACCATGCTTCTTCATACAAAAAGTTAATAATGTCATACAAACTTGCTGTTTATAGGACAATATGAAAATTAAGCTATCCCAAGAGCAGTATTTCCCGAGCATTAAGGCGAGTAGACATTGTAGTTCGAGGGTTGCTAAATCATATCAGTTGTTGAAAATTCTAGATCTATTTTTAGTCCAGTGTAGAAAAAAAATAAATGTTTATGCTCATGTGGAAGGTCTAGTGCAACATAACTTAGTGTGATTTTTAAACTGATGGACCACAACCAATTAGAGGGCTAGTAATTGTTACATTATATAAATTTGAATATATTACTAGTATAATATCCAAATATATACATATTTATTAAGAATTATCAGTATATTATACGTAAGCCATAAATTTCCTTGATTGTCCAGCTCTGATTCTGTGTCCCTACATTTGCATTTTGTTACTCTCAGTCAAAAATTCAACTGCATTCTCAAATATTTCATGTTGTGAACGGATAATCTTGTATTGAACAGTGTATATGAATTTAAAATTTTTGAAAGTTACAAAATCTGAAAGAGGAAAATGTTTGTGTTCAACCCCCCCCCCCCCCCCTTCGATTCTTGATACAACCTTACACTATCCTATCAAAAAAGTGTGGATCAAGTTGGCTTGTAAAGTTCTTGGAGTGTTCAAAAAAAATTTGGTTGTCAAGAAAAGTGTTGACTAGATCGAAGTCAAAAATGGCTTAGGCCTATTGCTACGAAAGCTTGTACATGATAGGAATCACGAGGAATCTACAGGCGCTCTTAAACTGCATAATTATACAACCTTTCTCACCAAAATGCACACAATGTTATTCCAGATGGTAAAGTTTGAGAATTTTCTTGCTAATAGAATGACATTTCTACCCAAAAGACAACAAATCTACACGCTATCACAAAATAGAAAGCTACATGACTTGAATATCAGAGACTTTTTTTTACTCCCCGCTTGAAAAGCGGGAGGGTATATAGTAATAGTACAGTGTAGTATGTCCGTCCGTCCGTCTGTTACGCTTAGGGTACCCATCTCTTATCCGCAACTCCTCTCATACCACTGAATGAAATTTGATGAAACTTTCACAGAATCTTTATTACATATTGCCATTGTGCATCTCTTATTTTACTTTTTGATCCGACTCATATTTTGGGTTTACCATAGCAAAACATGGACACTGTCATTATATTCATATAACAGGCGGGGGTATCATTTAGTGAGCTAATTGCTCACAGTACCTCTAGTTCATTTTGCATAAGGATTTGGAAAACAATATATATATATATATATATATACTTTTAACATCTGACCATAAATGTCTTGTTCCTTGAGTGTTGACTGATTGATTGTATATTGTTTAACGCCGAGTCGGCAATTTTTTAGCCATGTTTCGATGGACTATCAGTTTTAATACTCGGTTTTTAAAGGATTTTGGTTTTTCTGGCGGCCCCCAGTGAGCCTACTTTTTTTCGAACTCCAGAGAGTCTGGAGTCAAACAGTCTTTTACGTGCCAAGGGGGTTATCATCCTTGACACGGGGCATCATTTTACTTGAGTGTTGAAAATACCAAAATTCCGAAGACAGACTAAAACATATTGCAAATAAAGCTGGAATAGAAGATGCTAAGGGATAATACTAAGCTATTATAAGTGCTAATTTTAAAAGCTAGTACAAAGTGTTCGATGAAATTGGACAAGAATTTCTTCAGTTATATTTAATGGTGTGCTGAGGGATGTTGAAGTAGAAGTGCGAGTTGATAATGACAGCGATTCAGGGGGTGATTGTATGTGGACGGGGGCTCAAAGGCTTTGGAACATGGTCAAATACGAGGGGAAAATTTGGAAACTCTTTAGTCGAGTATGTTGAACTATTTCCAGGAAAAAAATGAAACTTTTCTAGTATTTTTTGTTTGTTCATATTTAATGGACTAGTCAATATACTATATATATATATATATATATATATATATATATATATATATATATATATATATATATATATATATATATATATATATATATATATATATATATATATATATATATATATAAAGCACTAAAAAACCAACAACACTGTATATCCTAAATGTCGGATCTACCAAGTAGATACAAGGTCACGGATGGAAATTTATATAAAGCACTAAAAATGACCAACGACACGAACAATAAAAATTGTCAAATTTTCGGGACGCCCTGTCCCTTCCTCAGGACAAAGAAAAAAGTTAAAAAGTCATAAGAACAAAGGAAAAAGAGAAACAAAAACAACTAGCACTACTACTAACCTACTAAACACTAGATATTTACATACTTAATTACATGTTGAATTGGAAATTTCTAAGAACACTAATATAGAAAGAAATCCGGACCGCTATGAAATGCGTCCGGTCTATCGGGTATACTCGGGTGAAGTGCGATTTACATAACTGAACGAATTAATTATGCTAATTAATTACGACAATCAGTAAATCGTACATTGTTTCATTTGAACTCTCAAAATGGAGTAACTTTACTTAATAAAGAATAATGAAAGAAAAATCATATACTATATATTTGAAGAAAAAAAAATGAATATCCGCCATTTTGAATCGCCATTTTGACTTTTAACTTACATCATTAAGATGTGGAATAGTGAGATGCAGAGGGGGAAAATACAAATCTGCAGTGTATGGATATTTGCAAATGTAAAATCCTGAACAAAGCAGACAATAGACAAATAAATCAGAGAAAATTCGAATCAAGTGTAGAAACGACTAAATTTTCTGAGTTGAACTAATAATGTTAGCATTCTATTATCATATTTATACTTGTATTACACTCATTGAGATATTCACATATTATTTCTCTTTTTTGAACAATATTAAGAGAAAATTAAAAAAAATTGGATGTCCGTCATTTTGAATCGCCATTTTGACCTCTTTAACGCCATTTTCATGAAGGCCAGCATATTTTTTCGGAATCAGCATACTCGAAATAGGTTAAAAAACTATGTTGGATCAAATAATAATTATTTGCCGTTCGAAGTATTTTTTTCTATAAATTGGACCAGACTATTACTTATGCAGCAATATACCTTCATCACATGCATGCGGAGTTAATATCTCTCAGATGATTCGATACGCAAGAGCATGCTCTACGTTTGTACAGTTTTAGAATTTCTAAAATGCGGTAAATTATTCACAAACAAGTGGATGAAATATCAGCAATCTCGTTTAAAGTCATCATTTCATAAGTTCTGTGGTCACTACAATGACTTTGTAAGCAAATACAATCTAACATTAAGTCTAATGGTGACTGAATTTTTTCATACTAATTGTTAGTCCATTATTTATACACTAAATTGACGACGGATATTTCATTTTTCCCGATCATGACAGGGAGCACAAGGCGAGTGTGACCGGTCGGCAGGGGATGCTCACTCCTCCATGGTACCTGATCCCGCCTCTGATGCTTTAGAAGTCTGCATTTGCTCTGTTCCTATTTTGTTTTGTTTAATGGACTTGTTGGCTTGAATACCGTTCGTTTTCTCAATATATTTCACTTTTGAGCATGATCACGGTTCGTTATCTTCATTTACCCAAAGTCTCGAATCAAGTAAATTTATAAAAAAAATCCCCAGACATCGTCATACTAACTAAGAAAGATATATTTGATACAAATAGAATTAGGGAGCTTGAACATTTTGATAGTTTGCTTGACTGTGTTGGGATAAAGGCAATGAATTTGAAATCCCGTTTGATATTGGCATCTTACAGCTTTTCTTGCTGTTTTATGCCAAGTTTGTCAAACACCATAAACTCAATCGATTAGACTGTATTTTAATTAACGACTCATTGTCTTTTCAGATCCTCAGCTATCGTGTTCAGTCGTGTGGATGCTGAGAGCGTCCTGAAGTTTGAGTTGGCGGGGACGTACTTACTGTACCGGGACTATGAGAGCGACCATTTATACTTATCCGTGAGGTAATCTGGATTCTTCCACTTGTTTGATTCCTCAATTACTTGTTAACGTTATCATACTCCCGAGAAAAATAAAAACAACTGCGACATTTATGCCAATGAACTTCTACTCATTATTTCTGAACCATCAATGATTTTACTTATCTTAATGTTGAATTTGTATATCATAAAATGTGACTGAACAAATGGTACCATTCCACAGATCTAGTGAAATGGTGGAGCATCACAGGATAAACTATGAGGACAATCTTTATTACATGGATAACCAGCCCTATCCTTATCTAGACTCCATCATTCTTTATCACCAGCGTCACAAACTGAACGGAACCAAACTCACGCATCATGTAAGTTCCTGTAACAAACTCACGCATCATGTAAGTTCCTGTAACAAACTCACGCATCATGTAAGTCCCTGTTGCATGTAGAAACTCACTCATCATGTAAGTTCCTGTTACATGTACAAACTCACTCATTATGTAAGTCCCTGTTACATGTACAAACTCACTCATTATGTAAGTCCCTGTTACATGTACAAACTCACTCATCATGTACGTTCCTGTTACATGTACAAACTCACTCATTATGTAAGTCCCTGTTACATGTACAAACTCACTCATTATGTAAGTCCCTGTTACATGTACAAACTCACTCATCATGTAAGTCCCTGTTACATGTACAAACTCACTCATCATGTAAGTCCCTGTTACATGTACAAACTCACTCATTATGTAAGTCCCTGTTACATGTACAAACTCACTCATCATGTAAGTCCCTGTTACATGTACAAACTCACTCATTATGTAAGTCCCTGTTACATGTACAAACTCACTCATTATGTAAGTCCCTGTTACATGTACAAACTCACTCATTATGTAAGTCCCTGTTACATGTACAAACTCACTCATTATGTAAGTCCCTGTTACAAACTCACGCATCATGTAAGTACCTGTAACAAACTCACTTATCATTTATGGTCTTATTAGCGACTCAATCATTATGTAAGTTCTTATACGTTTCACCAAACATTTCAGTTTTTATTTGAAACTAACTTAGCAAACTCACTCAACATGTTAGTTCTTGTTGTAACAAATACACTAATCATATAGGCTCAAATATATACAAACACACCTCTCTGAAGTACATTTGAGATTCTCATTTTCTTTCACTTTATAGTTCATACATTTCTGATTTTTTCAGCGTTTAGTTGCTATGTGTATACCCTGGCTTTTATAATAACACTTTTTCCTCTGTTTCAGGCCCCTCTCAGTGCCCGCACAGTTAAGGCGTTTACAACAAAGGTTATGCGTCACAATGGAAATGTGTCACAAATGGAAAATGAACCAAATTCCCTTCATGATAAGTCTCATTACATTGCAAGTATAGAACATACTAACGATGACGTCATCAAAACTCGCATATCTAAATCCAGTGGAAGGTTATGGATTTCTGGTACAATGCAACATTCCCTAAAGCGGATCTCTATGCCGATTCCGGAAGTGTATCATCATCTTGGAGATGGGGACAACAGACTGACACAGAGTTACAGAGGAAGTGCAAATTTCTTATCAAAAGCTGACAGTTTTGGTGATTTGAATGGAGACATATTTGATTCTTCGGTGTCCGCCAGGAAGCGGTCTGAGGACTCAGATAGTGAATGTGATTCAGAGAACATCGACGAAGACGATGACAATATCAGAGACTTTGAAGATGAAGAAGATGACGGTGTGTTAGTGTATGATACACACTTATGATATTTTCAAATACCCCCTCCTCATAAAATGCTACTTATATTATGTATATGAAAAAAGTCATTATCATAAGCTTATAAAGGAATCTATACGGAAAATATTTTCCAAATTATACTTTTTTATTGTTTATTTATTTTTATTTTCCCAATTTTATATCGTTCTTTTAACTGTTGTTTTACTACTTAATAGTAATTTTCTAAAGAAAAAAATTATAAAATCAGAATTCAAAATGAATTGCCTCAATTTTTTTAAAAATGAAATTTATCGAGATAACGAACAACATTGAGTTCAAAAGCCCATTAAACAATACAGAATTTTGAGAAAAGCAACCACGGAATCTAAAACATCATAGTTGGGATCAGATGCCATGGAAAATTTAGCATCCCTGCCCGGTCACAATGATTAATTTAATTGAATAATGAATTTCAAATAAATACGTGTTGATTAAAATATATAATTACATGTATGTCTACATTTTCATTTGTTTCCCTTTTTGATACTCTTTGCAAGTTAAGTTTTGCACAAGTAAATGTAACTGAAATTACAGTACCAACTTAAAGGTCAAAAGCCTAATATGCTTGTCAATTTTTCCTGAGGTCACTGTGTCTGAAGTCAGTGAGCGGGGACTATGGAAATTAATATGGAATCCTTTGTGTACTTCAGTTCTACCAGTCTTTTTAAAGATTTTATTAATGATTCATTCCACTAAAATAAATTATTGTAAATGGAAGCATAATGTTCCCAATTTTTAAATTGTCATTTATATTTATGGTATACATAACAAAATATAGACTTCAGAACACCACATTCAATAAACTTTCTACCCTCAGGCAACAACAAGAAAAACAGACCATGTTGAAGATATTATTAATTAATGCGGTATTATTTTCAAGTTCAACGATTTTTTTTAATATTAAAACTTATATATTCAGATGTGTATATAAAGTTCTCTTTCAAATGTATTTGGATTGTGATTAAACTTTTATATTAAGTATTATTTATGCAATTTTTTTTTATTTTCATGGCTGATACAAATAATATCGATATGCTAGAGAAAACTCTTCAAGCTTTGGCACTGCAGCCAAAGAATCCAGAGAAATGAAAAGATACCTAGATGAGAATATGATAATTTCCTAGAATGAATATTGTATATCTAGGTGGTTTATGTCCTAAGACGCAAGGCAAGGGAATAAAATTGTAATAAAGCACCTATTGGCAGGCAACACAAATACGGATAGAAATCACAAACAAATTGCAGCAAATTTAAATTGAGAGATATTCTTTAGCTTCAACCTTAAAATGGATGGTTTGCTGGTGAAAATAGCCATAGTGTTTGCAGTTTTCGGTAAGTGTTAATATTTATTTTGTTTTTCATTAATCATTAACACATCGCTGAATAGACTAAACATTAATAGATATACTCCAGTAGTCGAACTTACATGATTGAAGTGTCCCTTTCCGCGTACCATAAGGCTTACATTTGATGATAAAGATTAAACTACTAGTAATCAGTTACAAATTCAAAAATTAATATAACTGAGTCCGTCGTATATTGGTTAAAATGTCTAATCAATGGGAAGTTATGTCACTATATTTCCATTTCTAACTTTTTCTCTGCGATAACTCTTTGAAAGTTGTCGGAGTTTATTTCTTGATAATTCTGCCAGAATGTAAATTAGGCAGGTCGGTAGGTCAGGAGCTAAGGAGGCCTAAAATGCATGCAAATCTCGTGCGCATCTGTCTCTATGTCTGACGCTAAGGAAGCAAAATGTGCATGTAAATCTCATGCGGCTGCCTAGGACGTCATTGGGCGAGGACTATTGAAACTGGCATGGAAGTCCTCGTGTAATTTAAGTCTATGTCTACATTTTTAAAGTCTAAATCTACCATTTTATTTCACAATGAAATGAAAATATAAGGAATCACTGTCTAGTTAGGAGAGTATGCCAGAGACATCAACAATAGTGGGAAACATGGGATAATTTTAGCATAACGGGCTTCGCCCGTTATGCAAATTATTCCATGTTTCCCACTATTGTTGATGCCCTGGCATACTCTCCTAACTAGACAGTGATTCCTTAAGTAAACTGAAATAAATTAGGGAGATAACGAATTCTATGGAATCAATACAAAGTGGAAGCAAAGAAAATAAGGAACTATCAAGGATGGCCATGGGTTCAGGCTCCATGGAGGTGATAGCATTCCCTTTCGAGCGGTCACACCCACTCTTTGCTCCTCATTCTGTTAAGTAGAGAAAAAATTTCGTGCAAATAGCGGCATAAAATTTGTATACAAACAAGTCAACATTCGATTTAATGATAGACTTTATTTGCTGATTTCCTCGTTTTTGTAGTTAAAAATATTTTTCGCGTTTATTCGAGAAAGTTTCGCTTTTGAAAGCGAAATTTTTTCTAGCCTACATAGATAATTAAGTACAATGGGCTTTCAAAGTATCGACCATAGAATATGAAAATCCTTGACATTAAAGGTGCTTAGACACAGATTTAAAGTTGTCTCAAATTTTCAGTATTTCTTTGGCATTTAGCATGAAAATAAAATTTTAAAAAATACTTTATCTTGAAATTATTGAAACTCAGAATTGCTACTTTGAGAGTAGATATGCAAAGACGTAAACGAACTCACCAGTATCATTGCCTCGTGCTAAGTGATGCATGTAGAAATTAACAAATTGAACCTACCTGGTGAAACGTAATATTTTATGTTAACAGGGCACGAGCTCTGTCGTTGTTGATGTTTACGTTTTCATGTGAAATCCTATACGAACATATAGGCCAAAGTCTTGATATTGTATTGAAATTTTGAGAAAATATTAACTTCAAATCTGAGTCTAAGCACCCTTAAACGATTCTGTAGATATCATCGTTTCATCAACTTGATTGTCAATAGCTTGCTTCATATTAGAAATTGTCATCACGAACGTGTTCTCAAATATTAAATCAGTTGGGAGACATAATATACGCTAAATAAAGATATCGGGATATCTCTTGATACCTCTTAAATCATCTAGGATTTTTTTTTCAAAATATTAAGCTTTTCAAATCTTCTAAAGAAATAGTTTACACTATCTTGTACTTGTATCGCTTATTGTTTTTAATAACATTCCAATTTAATAATCAACAAGCAAATTGATCATCTAGTGAGACACGGACATCTTGTGAGTGATACACGTGAATGATGTACCGGTATATACTTCTACTGAAATACTTACACGAACATGGTTTAGAATTACTAAGTCACAGATCGATCGTAAATTATGAGGTGTAGTAAGGAACAAATGTATTTGAGAATAATTAATGACTTTGAAATTCATGAGCTAAAGTTTTGTGAGATGAGATGACTAGCATTACAATGATTTGATTTCATCAGTTTTGTCCAAAGCGGACGGTCGATGGATGTGTCGGGAAACATTTTGTTACTCTCTTTTCACGGAATTTGGTGGGATAAGCTTCCACGAAGCGGTGATCAGATGCAAGGAGAACAACTCAACCATGGCCAGCATCCACAGTGAGGAGGAAAAAGAGTTTGTGGAAAAAATCAGGTAAAGAATTTATTTGAATGCCCTTTCCCTCATTGTTAACGTGATAATTCTGACAACGTTTGAAATTTTGTAACTTAAGTACAGAAATTAAAACAAAGAGTGTGATACAGGGAAACAGTGAAACCTTTTTTTAATTCAACATGCTTTGGGAGAAAAAAATATATAAGGATGTCGCAATGCAAAAAGTAGAAGGACAAGAGTAAGATAGATATGAAAATGAGGGTCAGAATTCACAGTAAAACGGATTGCTACAATAACTGTACATGTAAAGTGTTTCGATAATAAAATTCAGTGTGGTTGCATATAGGTTTTTATTAGACCTTATTATACCCATGTAAACCTTCTACATGTATACGTTTTTCGGTAGAGTCTATAACATAACCTAGTCCTGGATTTCGGGAATGTTATTTCCGGATTGGTTTTCACATGTATAATTTTCTTGAACACCGAACCCGATTTATTTTTGTGACATTGAGGCGGGAAATCCAACGTGGAAAAGGTTGGGGTATGCATATCTCTTTTGAATGCCGTTATCCTTTCATCTCAGAAAATGTATGAAATGGACGAAGAAACAAGGTATGAATTTGTATGAAGTATGATATAGTGAAATATGCGGTATTGAGGAAAATGTTAACATCTTGATAAAGTTTTTATGAAGATATGGGTACTATGGTACCCATTTCGATTACTTTTTGAATAAAGGAGGGGTGTGAAATAAATATTTAGTTTTTTCATTATTTTTATTTTTCGTATCCATAGTGACACTTGGAAAGACCTGTTTGATGGTGATTTAACATCACACTCTGGGTTTGTGACATCTTCCACAAAATTGGACAAGTTGTTACAGGAATATGATTATGCAACTTCGTCCAGGTTCCGATGTATAAAAAGTTCCAAAGAATTTGGAAAAGATGTTGGTAAGAGCTTGTGGCTATATTTTATTATTCAATGCCAATTATGCTTTATTTAATACTTTAGAAATAGTAAACACTTTAGCTTACCGGAACCATAGGGTTATGGTGTCAGGTGGTTACTTTTAAAATCAGTGTTTGACCTGCATGATTATATCCTATGAGGTATGCTTGGAAAATGAAACTATGCAGGTTGAACATGTGTTTATGAAATTTTTTCGATATAGTCGTTCCAGTTACTCCCACCCTCCTCTAGATTATCAATTTTAAAAATCTATTTACTTTATACACACTTAATTTTCTTTTGCAATTGCAATAGATGTAGGAAGAATTGATAACGCCCATATTAGATTTGTGGACACACAGGGAAATGCTGAACCCCAAACAGAATATGATGCCATCCCTTTCATCATTATGGGTAAAAGAGTCCTTGAATGTCATCAGGGATATGACAGAGACAAAAGGAACAATGAAAAGAAAAAAATGAAATCAAGAGAGAATGTAAGTATGCATAATTTATTCTACTACTTCAGAAAAACAGTCCATTCATTAAACTTTACTTTAAACTTTAAACCAGTCACGGTTCAACATACTTCATTCACTTAACAACATAACCCAGTCCCGGTTCAACACACTCCAGGCACTAAACAACATAACCCAGTCTTGGTTCATTATACTCCATTCACTAAACAACATAATCCAGTCTTGGTTCAACATACTACATTCACTTAACAACCTTACCCAGTCTTGGTTTAACATACTACATTCACTAAACAACCTAACCCAGTCACAGTTCAACACACTCCAGGCACTAAACAACATAACCCAGTCTTGGTTCATTATACTCCATTCACTAAACAACATAATCCAGTCTTGGTTCAACATACTACATTCACTAAACAACCTAACCCAGTCTTGGTTCATTATACTCCATTCACTTAACAACATAAACCAGTCACAGTTCAACATAACCAAGTCATGGTTCAACATACTCCAGGCAATAAACAACCTATTCCAGTCACTAAACAACATAACCCAGTCACTGAATAGCATAATCCAGTCACGGTTCAACATACTACATTCACTAAACAACATAATCTAGTCTTGGTTCAACATACTACATTCACTAAACAACCTAACCCAGTCTTGGTTTAACATACTACATTCACTAAACAACCTAACCCAGTCACAGTTCAACATACTCCAGGCACTGAACAACATAGCTCAGTCTTGGTTCATTATACTCCATTCACTAAACAACATAATCCAGTCTTGGTTCAACATACTACATTCACTAAACAACCTAACCCAGTCTTGGTTCATTATACTCCATTCACTAAACAACATAATCCAGTCTTGGTTCAACATACTTCATTCACTTAACAACATAACCTAGTCCTGGTTCGACATACTCCAGGCACTAAACAACATAACCCAGTCTTGGTTCATTATACTACATTCACTAAACAACATAATCCAGTCTTGGTTCAACATACTACATTCACTAAACAACCTAACCCAGTCACAGTTCAACACACTCCAGGCACTAAACAACATAACCCAGTCTTGGTTCATTATACTCCATTCACTAAACAACATAATCCAGTCTTGGTTTAACATACTACATTCACTAAACAACCTAACCCAGTCACAGTTCAACATACTCCAGGCACTAAACAACATAACCCAGTCTTGGTTCATTATACTCCATTCACTAAACAACATAATCCAGTCTTGGTTCAACATACTACATTCACTAAACAACCTAACCCAGTCTTGGTTCATTATACTCCATTCACTAAACAACATAATCCAGTCTTGGTTCAACATACTTCATTCACTTAACAACATAACCTAGTCCCGGTTCGACATACTCCAGGCACTAAACAACATAACCCAGTCTTGGTTCATTATACTCCATTCACTAAACAACATAATCCAGTCTTGGTTCAACATACTACATTCACTAAACAACCTAACCCAGTCACAGTTCAACACACTCCAGGCACTAAACAACATAACCCAGTCTTGGTTCATTATACTCCATTCACTAAATAACATAATCCAGTCTTGGTTCGACATACTTCATTCACTTAACAACATAACCCAGTCCTGGTTCGACATACTCCATTCACTAAACAACATAACTCAGTCTTGGTTCAACACACTACATTCACTAAAAACATAATCCAGTCTTGGTTCAAAATACTACATTCACTAAACAACATAATCCAGTCTTGGTTTAACATACTACATTCACTAAACAACCTAACCCAGTCACAGTTCAACATACTACATTCAATAAACAACCTAACCCAGTCACAGTTCAACATACTCCAGGCACTAAACAACATAACCCAGTCTTGGTTCAACACACTACATTCACTAAAAACATAATCCAGTCTTGGTTCAAAATACTACATTCACTAAACAACATAATCCAGTCTTGGTTTAACATACTAATTCACTAAACAACCTAACCCAGTCACAGTTCAACATACTCCAGGCACTAAACAACATAACCCAGTCTTGGTTCATTATACTCCATTCACTAAACAACATAATCCAGTCTTGGTTCAACATACTTCATTCACTTAACAACATAACCCAGTCACTGAATAGCATAATCCAGTCACGGTTCAACATACTACATTCACTAAAAAACATAACTCAGTCTTGGTTTAACATACTTCATTCAGTTAACAACATAATCCATTCAAGGTTCAACATACTACATTCGCTAAACAACCTAACCCAGTCTTGGTTTATCATACTACATTCACTAAACAACCTAACCCAGTCACAGTTCAACACACTCCAGGCACTAAACAACATAACCCAGTCTTGGTTCATTATATGTTTTCCATAAACGACATCAATCAACCAGACTTGATAATGAGTTATTGGGACCCTTCGTGTTTTCCATAAACGACATCAATCAACCAGACTTGATAATGAGTTATTGGGACCCAAGACGGACGGAAACCGGACGCATTTCTCTGTCACCATGCAAATCATAATATATTTTTTATGTGAGCATTTCTGAAGAAAGCAAATTTTATGGGGGTCCATCATACTATATTAAGTATCTTTAAACCATCAACATTATAAAAATAATATGCTTACAATATATATTGTGTGAAATTATTATCCTGCGAAAAACATTGCTAACAGAGGTGAAGCATAGGTCAGCAATGTGGTTTTCAACGGTTAACAATTTCATGTTTAAGTCCTGAAAAACATGAATTACTTTTTTATACTTAAAAAAAGTATAACAATATGTTATTATAAACATGTTATATGTTATAACAAAATGTGTTTTACTTGTAGACTGAACAGTCCATGAAATTGGTTCATATTTTGTGTGAATGGCCAAGGATGGATCTTCCCATAACCAAGGGAACAGGAAATATACTAGGCTACAATATAGCATCTCTGGTAATTTTAGTAATGTTTTGCATACATGTTTATCTAAATGCCCTGACTTCACAATTTAAGATTCTTGTTTATCTTTTTATAATATTTCCTACATGTATTGATTTCACAAAGATATAAAGAGAGGATAAGTCTGCTTTAAATGCTTAGTAATATTAATTAAGTTCTACAACACTACAAAAAGATTTCTAATAATTATTTAAAAAATTTTATAGTTTGAAAAAAATGTCAATGAAAACAAAGCTGAAGGAAATGTTGGAATTAGAAGAGGGTGATAAGAGGTACGTGATGTACATACATGTACATGAGCAGCTTATTTACTTTAAAATTGTCAATCTTCATTAACTTTATGGGCAATCAATTAAATGATCAAAATTTCATTATTGTAACACCGCTCCAAAGTAGAGGGGTATATTGTTTTACCCTTTTAGGACTACCCATCTGTTTGTCTAGCTGTCTGTCCATAACAATTTTTTTCGCATGTTTCACAGCATCATACCGTATAAGTGGAAATTTTAGCGAGGATTTAATTTTGGCATTATTAGCGAGGCTTTTAAGATCGCTAAAATTGAATATAGCTAAAAATTAATTGCGTGTTATTTATACTAGCTTCTTTAGTGGGCATTTTAAAATCGCTAAAATTACTTCTAGCTAAAAATAAAATACCAGTTTTTAAGGAGAAATCTCTAAATTTGTGTCTCGCTAAAATTTCCACTTGTACGGTAGCAGATGCTTGAAATTTTAAAACATACTTTGTTGAGGCATTCTGTATGGTGGGATTTATTTTTGTGTTAATCTGATGTCAACTTCCTATTTATACGTGAATCTGCCTGTAACCGAACTTTACATGGTGTACATATATATATTAACATATAGTGTATTTTTACATCATAGTGGAGGTATTACTAGTGAGCATTGGCTCACAGATTTCTTGCTAGAAATTAAAAAGATTTCATGGTATGTCCTACATATTGTTACATTGTTTCATGCATTTTTGTTTCAAAGAGATACAGTAACAACTGGATAAAATAAAAATGTTATAAACTTCAGTTTTAGGATGTATATTGCTTTTGCAGGTGTTATGAACCGCATTGGAGACATCTACGTTGGATTGACAGGAATGACTTGACAGATCATAATGTGATGAATAACTGTTTGAAAGGAATGAAAGAAAGAGATAAACTTTTTCATAAAGAGGTAATTTTAACACTCAAATGTTTGCTCTGTAGTATATAATGCATTTCATATGACTAGTCTTGCATATTTTGTACCCTGTAATTGCTCTATGCAAATTATGTAACAGTTATAGAGACTATTTCTTAACTTGATTCATTTTTTTTAGCTCACATGAGCTAAAAACTCAAGTAAGCTTTTCTGATCACCTTAATTATCTGCCTTTTTTCTGTCTATTTGTATACTGTTCACATTTTAAACATCTTAAAAACCACTGGATCAATTCTAATTGAGCTTGTTACAAAGCATCCTTGGGTGGAGGTGAGTTTTAATTAATAAAATAAAGGACCATGTTCCATTACAAGGGGAGTTAATAAGGAAAAGACAAAAAAGGCATGGGTCATTAAAAAAAATCTTTTGAAGAACCACTGAGCAAGAAAAGCTAAACACTTTGTGGAAGCATCCTTTGGTAGTGTATATTCTAAATAATGTTCAAAGCATGACCCCTGGGGTTAAGTCAGGGCCACAAAAGGAAATACACATTTTATATTGAAATATATACAAGAATTTTAAAAAATCTTCTCAAGAATCACTGGGCCAGACAAGCTGAAACTTTTGTGGAAGCATCACCGCCATGGGTAGTGTACATTCCAGTTTGTTCAATTGATATCGATGACCCCAGGGGGTAGGGCA